TAGATAAAGCTTATTTCACCTATTCAGAAATTTTTCAATATCATTAAGGGTATTTATGACTCTAGAGCACCTTGTGCTATTAGTTTAAAAAAAGGGTCTAATCTGTAAGCTTGTTGACATTCAAGTCTCCTAAATTATTGTAATAACGAATGTACTTTTAGCCGTTGTAGTAAGTATGTAGAAGAAAGTGGCTTGCAGCCGAAAGTCTTTTTTTACTCAAGATCAGTGTAGCCCCTCTGCCCTCTCGGGGATAAACATAACATCTTCCAGTTTTCAGCCTCTTTATTGTAGATGTACCGCCTGCACAAATATGCTTCTTAGACGGCTGAATTCATGCGTATTGAGATGTTTCTATGGAAGCTTTTTCGCGATCTACTTTCTCAAAGCCGGGAACCCTATACATTAGGACTATATATAAATTCCATGATCACCCCCATATACTCTTCGTGCTATTTTGGCGCAATGAAATAAAAGAGAATGTAAATTATGATATATGACCGCTTCACTGACGATGTGCGCTAAAAGCACCCTTAGCTTGCTAGGGATAAACTGCAATAATTAACTGCAGCTCCAAAATATTTGCTGCATCATCTCCGAAAGATTTCTATCAGTGGAGCGTAAACAAATGTGCGTGACACATTATCGTATGTAGAGACTAATCGTTCAATCAATCAAATTCTTATATAACTGCTTGTCAATGCTTTATTGTAATAAAGTAATGGAAAGGTGTAACGGGGTGAATCGTTACATAACAATTTATAAGAAATTGCTAATAGAATATAACTATAAGAGTTATATTCTCAGAATATTGTCATAAGGACAAATATTCTGTAGCACTTACAAGTAGTTCCTAATTGGTTTATATAGGCCATTATATCAACCAACGAAGACGCGCCACGACAGACGCACGCAATGAGTGGTGAGCAGATAACTGATTTACACATTTGTATTTAGACATAGTTAGATGAAGATAAATAGTGATTTATTGCAGACATTAACTATTATAAATACAGTTCTACTTTTTACTTTAACCGAGTACTCGCTTCTTCTTACCGTCTTCCTCTGCACGTACGAGTGTACGTGAAGTTACGAGGCACCGCCTTATTCTGTCATCAGAATAAGTAGCTTGTACTGTCACCAGTACAAGCTTCAGGGTGCCCCGTTACACCTGGTAGCACTTCGTAGTCCGTCCAAGGACCGCGTTCACATCCAACATGAATATGTTGGATGATGAAGATGACCAAAGCTTTCACGCTACGCGTGACGGCTACTCCCATTTGAGCGATGTCGAATGGGATGCGGTTGAACGAATGGGTTCGACCATGGGCATCCATGCTGTTAGCGTCATGCTAGAGGCTCTCAATAGAGATGCCCAACATGCTACTATCGCCAAGTTCATTCAAAATGAACTTGACGCTGAACGCGAGAAAGTAGCCTTGCTTCACCAACAAGGTTCTCAACAAGCAGAGTTGTTGAGAGAACAAGGTGCTCAACAGTTTGAACTGTTGAGACAGCAGCAGGCTGCTGCTGGCGGGTCGATGCACTCGCGTCGACCCGAGACTTTGAAGATTGACATCTCAAAGTATAGGGGGGTCGAAGAAGACTCCCTCTTGAGATGGTTCGTCGAATTGGATGACGCCATAAGGGCGCGTCGCATCGACGACGGGGATATGCAAGTTGCATTTGCCCAGTCAAATCTGGCAGGACGTGCCAGGACTTGGGCACTGGGGCTCAAGTTGCACGACCCATATGCGTTTGGGTCGTTGGAAGTCTTCAAGTCGCGGCTCAGACAAACGTTTGAACCTCCTAGAGCTGAGTTCAGGGCTCGAACCGAACTCTTGAAGCTCAAACAGGGTAAGCGTGATGTGCACGCTTACGCCCAACATATACGACATCTTACGAGTTGTATAAGTTCCAATCCGGTGGATGAACACACGTTGGTTTCGGTGTTCATGCAGGGTCTTGCGGATGGTCCCGTCAAGACTCACCTATTCCGGCTTGAACTAGATTCACTAGAACAAGCCATTTCCATTGCGGAGCAGGAGGACTTCAGTCTGAGACAGGCTCGCACCAGCTCGACATCATATCGTCAACCGAGACGATATGACAACGGAGGTCCAGAGCCGATGGAACTCTGTTATGTAGAGAGCGAGAAGGCTCGCTCTACAGGCTACAAGAAGTTGCAGAGATGCAACAGATGTCAAAAGACAGGACACTACGCTTACGAGTGTAGTGCCCCTCGTCCAGTGTCTCGCGACACTGGGCGTAGTGACCGTCCACCCATGAGAAAGGGGCAGGGACGAGGGTCCGCAGTTGGTGCAAAGACGCAACAACGGGATGGACCGTCAAAAAACGGACAGGATCAGTAGGTGCGGAGCACCCTACTGGTCCAGCAACGTCAAGAGCATTTGTAGGCCTCTTGATGAAGGTTGCTCCCAACGCAAAAACGTTGTGCGTTGCTGCTCTAGGTAATGAGGACTCACTCATTACCTTGAAACTCGAAGTGACAAATAAGTTGTCCCTTCGAGCTCTAGTCGATTGTGGGGCGTCCAACAATTTTGTGCGACGCCAATCGCTAGAAGATGGTCACTTTAAATTCAGTGAATGTGACACACCTCCTACGAGGATGACGGTACGTCTTGCGACAGGCGCATCCGTAACCAGTCATGAAGCGTATAGTGAAGATCCACTATACGCTAGAAGATACCCAATATGACGATGACTTTATCGTATTGGATTTGGATGACAAATTTGATGTCATCCTTGGAATACCGTGGCTCAGAAGGTACGAACCACGGGTAAACTGGCAACATCGGACAGTAACGATGCCTGCCGCTTGTTCATCAGATGGCCATCTGATGAACGTTTTGGAGCGTCCACAAGCGTGTGGATGTACTACGAGTGAGTGCGATGGCCTCACTTGTGGTACGGTCGTTAGTACGACTGCACAAAACCTTAGTGTACCAAACGGTTACACTTCGGAGCAAAGTTCCGGCGGCTGTGAGGAAACACAGGTCCACGTCCGAAGGTCCTACCACTCGAATAAGTCGGGTGGACTGGGACAAAGATGTATCCCTAGCGGGGAACATCTAGAAGAGAAACAATCGATCGCTCAGGTTAAGCGAAATACCACTTCTTGGGTGCATCGTTGGTAAGAACGGTGTACGTCCTGATCCCGAAAAGATCAAGGCGATCACCGACTGGCCTGTGCCGGTCGATGTCAAAGGTCTTCGAAAATTCCTTGGGCTAGCGGCGTATTTGCATAAGTATTCACGCAATTACGCCGAGATGACTGTGCACCTCTCTCGTTTGTTGAAAAAGAACGAGAGGTGGTTATGGAACGCTGAATGTCAACGCTCCTTTGAGGGTATCAAGCAGAGCTTGATACAATCCCCAGTCCTAGCAATAGCCGATCAAGACAGGCCATTTCATGTGGTCTGTGATGCCAGCGATTTCGCAATCGGCTGTGCACTAATGCAGTACGATCTCGAAGGCGTTGAACGCGTCGTCTGCTATCAGTCGCGTCAGCTGCAACCAGCTGAGCGGAACTATCCAGTGCATGACAAGGAACTCCTTGCCATGAAGTATGCACTCGCGAAGTTCAGAGTCTATCTATTAGGAGATAGACCCTTCGTTGTTTACACTGACCATGCGTCATTACGCACGGCAGTGAACAGCCCGCACCTTTCACAACGAATGGCGCGGTGGTTGTCATTCTTTATGATACTGATCTGCGTTTGCGGATCATGTTCGAGTATCACGATGCTCCTATAGGAGGACATCGTGGCCGAGAGAAAACATATCTCACGGTAAGTCGAGACTTTTACTGGCCCCGCCAGTATCAGTTTGTGCGAAAGTATGTTCGCGCATGCGAAGTCTGTCAATGAGTGAAGTCAAGTCCTTCACTGCGTGCACCTTTACAGCCTCTACCGGTTCCGGCTGAGTGCTGGGAATCCATCTCAATGGATTTCGTCTTCGGGTTACCCAAAGACGCACGCGGGAATACGGGTATTCTCGTATTTGTTGACAGATTCAGCAAAATGGTACACCTTGTGGCTGTACCAGAGACAATCACGGCAAGTGGCTGTGCTTGTGTCTTTATTGAAACCATCTTCCGACTTCATGGGTTGCCCCGTGAACTCGTGTCAGACAGAGATCCACGATTCACTGCTGATTTCTGGCGTTCCGTGTTCAAATCACTCGGAACGCGCTTGAAGATGTCAACATCTGATCATCCAGAGTCAGATGGTCAGACGGAACGTGCCAATCGTGTCCTTGAAGAGATACTTCGAGGATACGTACACTCCTTTAAGAGTTGGAGTGAGTTTTTGCCAATGGTAGAGTTTGCCATCAACAGCTCGGTGCATGCGTCCACGACACATACACCGTTTTACGTGAATGGCTTGCGCCATCCGCGTGTACCCACCTTACTCGAGTGTAACTCTGGTTTAAGGGGGAGGGGACTCGCGCGAGCAAAAACCGATTTGGTTCACGCTCATCACGCTCTGACGAAGAAGTCATTGCGTTTGATGCCGATATCGATAACATCGATATCGAAGAAGATGATGCCAGTGAGAGTGCGGAAGCCCTCACTGAAGACAATGATCCCAGTGAGAGTGCGAAGCCCTCACTGAAGAAAAGGTTGATGTTGCTGCAGTGCGCTCACAGCACACTGAAGCTAACGAGTCATCAGATGAGTTCATACTGGCTCGTGAAACGGTAGTCCGTTTTGTGCAAGACTCCATCGCCGAAGCGGTGGATAAGCAAAAGCAAAACGCTGACAAGAATGGAAGGGCAAACTTTCTTTTATTTAATAAAGGTGACTTAGTCCTACTGTCTACGGTTAATCTACCAAAGCATGTAGTGACTAACTTTGGGTAGCAGTAAACTACTACCCAAGTACATTGGCCCATTTCGTGTATTGCACCGCCTAGGCAATGCATACACGATCGAGTTACCACGTAAGATGCGAACGCATCCCACGTTTTACGTTGGTCGGCTTAAGCCGTACCATCAGTACGCTGCTTCTTCCGATGAAGAACGCCCTTGCGCTCAAGCATCTCGCAAAGAGCCTTGCGCTCCCGATGGTGGGCATCAACAAGGGTCTGAAGAGCAGTTATCTCAGCCCGAGACCGATCAACAATCCCACGAGCTACCCTTAGCTCGTCACGAAGAGATGTCAGAGATCTCTCGTTCTCGAGCTGAGCAAAGGCAAACTCAGCTCGATGCTTCAAGGCAGTGTCCACCATTTGGAGACGCCTATTCCGCTCATGCTCGAGATCGTCGCGTAACCCTTGCGTTACGCGATCAAAGAAGCTCTCAGGAATACACCGATCCACATGATCGTGTGGAGGTCGTCTTTCCTCCTCCTCCACCTCCATTAGAGGACTCTCGCGGTGGCCAGCGCTATCTAGTTGAGCAGCTGTTGAACCACCGCGACGTGAACGGACGTCGGACGAGTTATCTCGTCCGGTGGCGCGGCTATCCCCCGTCCTGGGATTCTTGGGAGCCCCGCTCCCAACTGATGATCGACGTACTGGGTCTGGTTGAGCAGTACGACGCGGCACATCCTGTGCCGCAGAAGGACCGCCGGAGAAAGTCTTCCCGGCACGGTCGTAAAGGGATTTCAGGTTGTCAATCCCTTCGTACATCTCAGTAGAGACACGTACGCGCCACCACGGGCTGGTAAGGAGGTAAGCCTCCTTAGGTGCTCGCGCAGAGTTGTTCACACAACATGGGCACGAGTCTCCCCAAGAGAGGCAGGGTAATCCTTTCTCCCTTGACAGACGATGCAGCTTGTAGCGTGCACCTGTCGGGGTTCGCTTTTCAAACTTATCACGAGCTTTGATAAGTTTGTCGTTCCAAGCGTCACGACCTACATCCTCGAGGTTATGGATGTAGGCGTTCCACGCTTGAAGTAGTGAGGACCATCACGCTTGTGGTTCCCACTGTACCATCGATGTCTGAAGAAAGCATCGATGAAGAATTCGTGTTCAGCGCGATAGTTTTTCGCGCTGGGGTCAAGGTGATGGATCCTTGACGAATCGAACAACCGTGTTCGATAACGATCACTCGTCGTCGCCGACAAGTGATCCATGACGGATTTCGGAGGCATCCATGCCTTCTTTTCTGGAGCGAGACGCAACACATTGCGGTCCCGCTCTTCCTGCGACGTGCCGACAGAAGTACTGGCACCTCGCTGTGAAGTGGTGTCCATTGGAGAACCGACACCACTATTAGCGCCCGAGTCTCGCGACCTCGAGCGCCTTCGCTTGGCGATGGTTCATCTGATTCATCAGATGAACCAAAGATGCTGCGACGCAAAGCATCGTCCATGCCACGCTTGGCAGGCGGCTTCAATTCAATCGCCGTCGATACGGATCCGTCATCCGTATCAGGAGAGTACGAGACACCGAGCTCGTACTCTGTGAAGACACGAGTGTCTTCATGACCGGCGCCTGCATCACCAAGTGACACAGGCTGGGTCGCTTCAGCAACCGATGGGACATCAGTTGCTGTTGTTTCTGCTTCGGCGTCAACACAGAGACGTGCAGACGCGCTCTCGGCGGCCTTGCTCGCGCATCGCATGGGCTTGTTAACCATGCGATGAGATGTTGGAAAGTGGACGCGGACCAACAAGTGCAAACCCTGTCCCAAATGATTTGGGACGAGTATCCATTTAGTCAATCAGTCACTAAAGTGACTGATGGTTAAGGGGGGTGATGTAACGGGGTGAATCGTTACATAACAATTTATAAGAAATTGTTAATAGAATATAACTATAAGAGTTATATTCTCAGAATATTGTCATAAGGACAAATATTCTGTAGCACTTACAAGTAGTTCCTAATTGGTTTATATAGGCCATTATATCAACCAACGAAGACGCGCCACGACAGACGCACGCAATGAGTGGTGAGCAGATAACTGATTTACACATTTGTATTTAGACATAGTTAGATGAAGATAAATAGTGATTTATTGCAGACATTAACTATTATAAATACAGTTCTACTTTTTACTCTAACCAAGTACTCGCTTCTTCTTACCGTCTTCCTCTGCACGTACGAGTGTACGTGAAGTTACGAGGCACCGCCTTATTCTGTCATCAGAATAAGTAGCTTGTACTGTCACCAGTACAAGCTTCAGGGTGCCCCGTTACAAAAGGGATCTTGTAAAATACCCGAATTATTGCTAAGCCGTATACCAGCTTAGCACAGTTTGTAATTTGAAGCTTAAATACAATGATTGGATGTCACATTAATTACCCAATTTATTGAGAGACGTGTCGCGACACACAGTCTGGTCCAGACGTGGAGCGCGGTAGAGGGGAGAGAAAGAAGGCCACGATATCGTCGGCAAATCGGAAAAAAAATAACGCCGCAGAAGATCTGGACACCGGGCGCCAAGATCAGCCGCGTTTGTAATGGGTACCCAAGGGTTCCAGAGCAAACGATTCAGTATCGAGCAAACTTGCTTCACAACGGCGTGGCCCTAAAAATCGTGGGCAACCATCAAGTCTGGGAGAGAAAATCGAGGGGGGGCCTTTGTGACTGGATGATCGGAATGCAAAACGACGAACTGCCAGTTATACACGAGTCAGTGCTGACGAAGGCAAACGAAATTACCAGGCTACGTACGGTGTGACGCGGAGCACCGGCTTCCTAACAAAATGGTGGGTACATGCTATCTCAAGCGTCATCCGGATCTATCGCTACGATACAGTGAGGTTTTCAAGCGGTCCCTGGATGAGATTAGCTTATACAGTCTACGGGAGTACTGTCAACGAGTACATGAAGCACGTCATTGAGCGCAAGGTCAGTCCGGATCGGGTCTTTTACACGGATGAGACGAGATTCTACCCGAAGAGCAAGCATGCGTAGATGGTCGTAGTCAAGAGCTCGAGGAATGTGTGTAAAAAGTCTACTCAGTGCATCTTTCATCTTACGATTGTCGCGTGTGCATCAGCAGCAGGCTTTGTATGCCCACCCCTGTGAATTTCAGTAGGTGAGCGTGTCACCCTTGACGTGTTGGACGAGTAAATGTCCCGGCTGCTGCTATCATTACTATTTCTCGAAAGGCTTTTCGGACGTCTTGTCAATTGATGTGCAGAGACCCTTTATCCTGGTCTAAAACTATAGCAGCAGCCACTTTAACGTCGAGATTGTGCGTGAGACGGTGCAGCTCAAATCATCCGCGTGATCCTCCCATCTAACGCAACTCACCTCCTGCAGCCACTAGGCGTGGCTGTACTTAAACCCTTTGAGGTCAGCATTGATGTCGTTATGCGTGATTTACAATCTGAATAGGGGATAAATCTCCATTAAGCGCAAAACAGCCATTTGCTTGTAAGCTCCGCGTGGAGCAAGGCCGTCATGGAAAATCCTTTAATATGATCACGGGATTCACCGTGTGCGGACATTGCCGTTGTCACTGCCGCAACAGCAGTGTTGGCTCAAGCTGTTTCTAGATGGGGGTGCGTCAGGGACGTCAATTTGCCGTCCTGGCTTAAAGTCAGAGAGGTTGTGCAAACCAAGGCTCTACTTCTTTTTGCTTCATCTTCAAATTCTCGTAAGCTATGCAAACATCTTGATGTGAACCTCCGACTCTTCACGCGGGAGGACTTACAAAACGTTGACGTGTAGCAGTACACCTGGTTTTATACTGCATTTTTGTACAGTACTTTTCGGCAAAATTCTAATGAATTGTGTAATGTTTGTGATATTCGTGCTTTGCGCACTGTCATCGATACTTTCACGATCAGCTTCTTTATTACTCAAAGCAATAGGAATCTTCCTGATTTTTTTCAGCTAAAAATAGCCGATTTTGCGCTAACATCAGCATTAATATTAAAAGTTCCTCGGTTCTTGATTCCCGGCAATTATCTATTCCGTTTTATTAGGTTCATACTGTCGTTACTTCTTGTCTTTGTAGACGATGTTTTCGACGATTATGGTTGTTGGTTACCTTTCAGGACAGACACAGAAATTTCTGTGTGTGTCCCTCCAACTTCGTGAAGTTTTAAGATATTGTTATGAAAATTCGCTCCATGCGTTTTAAAAGTGATGTCTGCTGCCCTTAATTTTTTGGTGTGTGCTGCGGCCAATATGGATCATCTGTACACACTGCTGACAGGGTTCATGTCTTACTACTTTTTCTCTGGGCGAAAGACTAAGATATTGGCGCAACTGACTCTTTTGTTCAGCCTATTTCTGAGACTAGATGGTGCAGAATATTAGATGCAATTCTCTTTCCTGGAACGGTGCATTCGGATTGTTAATTTGTGTTGCACCTTAATTTTAATTTAGACATCTGCCTACCGGTGGAAATGTTATGGAAGACACGACAAAAGTAAAAGTAATGTGAAATGAATGAATCGTCATAAAGGGTGCCAGATGCATTCTGGTCCTTCTGGAGACTCGTCAATGGCTTTTAACTTGAACAAACCGTGCTTAGGTGACATGTGAAATATCACACCGTGTTTTACCCTTTTTAATATTCTGCGTCCCCTGATATTAATTCTGGAGTACAATACTATGCATCCTTAATTACCAACATAACCTAAAAGAGTCAGCCATTGCGATGGTTTGGGAACAAGTTGCCGCGGAAGGAAATGTCGGGAAAATGTGTAGATAAATATACGATCTGAATGGTGGTGACGCAACTGCAACAGGGTTAGACCATACACTGGTATAAAGATGCAGGAATATTTATGATGAAGGTCCTGAGTGCGGTATGCACTTACCCTTTTTATATGTATGAGGTACTAAAATAGTTTGCCTACCACAATGTGTTTGTCATACACACGAATATCGTCGCTTTTTGACGTATTAAATGATGTCGTGAAATCTCGCCATCTAATCGCTTATATCAAGCATAAGGCCTGTAGAGACCTCGTCTCATCGGAAGAGTGTGTCCAAATTTTATCTTTTATTTCCCCTGTCTGATAAGTGTGTAATGGAGGAAGGGGTATTTTGTCCGAGACACAAAAACAACATATTTTAGCGACTCACTTATCCAGCGGTGAGTAAGTCGTCAAATGGCTACAGCCCGAAAATTGCTGCACATGAGAGAAGATGGTCAATCTGATCCCTTGCAGGTTCATGAAGGTGTGATCGGAGGCAATTCGTGATATCTAATTATAGCTATCGCCTACAGAAACTGGTTTTGATCAGGTGTGGCGGGCGCGTGTCTATATTTTTTCAAACGACATTATTTCTAAAAAGCAAAACAGATTGTTTCTACCTCCAAGAATTATCACTGACACATCCGTGCTGATATCTTGTGAGTACATATAGTACTGTGTAAAGATGAACAGCACTTTCTAAAATTGCTCGACACCGAACACCACGGAACGCATCGATTTGAATTGAAGCTTGTGATAATCCCAGGCGCATTCTCCATAGAATAAGCAGATACGAACAAAATGTCTTGGTCATTACAAGTCACTACCGACATGTAATTACGGCACTTAAAGGACACGGAAGTTCACATGATCAAATTCTAATTTTATTCTTCATCTATTCTGAACACGCAAGTTGTAAAAGCGTAGGCGACGCATGGACGACGAAATCAGAGACAGCGAATTAAACCACGCTAGCATATAGGAGGTTATATGCCAAATTGAAACGCATGAGTGCTACAATGCATC